CAGACTCGGCGCAACAGCAGAGGCAGAACCTGTGATGGACGCCTTGATCTTCTTCCACTGGTCTTCGCTGCGCGCAATTCGCCAACAGATGTACAACACACAAGACTGTGATCGCATCCAGAGGCCTAGCTCTGTAACCAACTATAGTTTTGCAAGAATGGATTTCCAACTTACTTGAAGGGTTCTGCGGTCGCTGTAAGTGCTTCAGGTGTGGTCATGCACAGTAGAGCATAGCCTGTCTTCCCTCCATCAGCGTTTAGCACTTGTGCTGGTGGGGTTCCGCCATCTGCCGTTTGTGTGCAGGTAACGACCTGGCAGGCAGCAGCGGCATTCTCTTGAGGGTTGTACAGAGCAACAAAAGAAATGTTCTGCTGTTTGTCGTAGAGATCCGTGTCGTCATTATTCGCCGGAGGGATTGTAGTGAAGTTGCTGGCGGCGTCCTTCCAGTGGCTCACTGCGGCCGCACAGTCGGGCGTCGCCGATTCCAACGCCATGTAGGCGTATGTACCGCTTTTAAATCCATTTTCATCTGAGCTGATTTCTAGTTGTTCTGTGCCTTCCTGAAATGAAAAAAGCACGGATGAAGAAGTGAGACATGACGTAAAGATAGGAGGACGAAGGACAGTGGCCGCAGTGAAAGACACTTACTCCTATCAGAGCCTTACAAACAAGATCCCATGCAGGATTGTTTTGCTTTTCTCTTTGCTGCACCGTAAGTTCAGGCCACGTTAGTTGTTCGCTCTTCGTTTGGAAGTGTTCGAGTCCAGCGGCTTCGCGTGCAGCGTTCATTTCGGTGAGGCACACATTAGCATCATCTGCAGAAAAACGAAAGATGCACACATCCTAAGCCCACATTTACATGTACTGATACTTCCAAATGTGGGTTGGAGCAATTTAATGCCCTTCGAAGGATTTCTTCGCTTCCAAGGCCACTGAAAATCCGGCACAACTCATCACATCCAACGCATTTACTTTGGACCACAGGGCTGAAACCTTCCCCAGTGAGCAAGTATTTGCCAGCATACCGAGATCTACAGTGTAGGTTGGGGATGACCCCTGCGCTGTCAATGAAGTTTGCTTTGCCGTTTGATGGACAGCGTTCGCCATCAAGAACGCAGACGCAGAGGCGAGCGAAAAAAGTTTAAGGGCCGCCATGTTTGCAGTGTTGAAGTTTAATATGTGAACGAGTAAACGGGAAGAGTGGAGAAAGTTTGAAAGGGCATCAAGATCAGAGCTAACATGTTTTGCAGTCTGTGCAGAAGTGGCGGCGAGGGAGCGGACCACGGCTGGCCTATCCGGTCCGGCAT